TATATTATTTTGTAATAATATAGTAATTTATCATTCTCTATAATAATAATAATTTAATTTCTAATTTGATAAGAGGAAACCCGTTCTCAACTTCTTTTCTGAAAATTTGGTGCGAATCGGCCAGTGTTGCTTTTCGAAACGGCACCAAAAGTACGATCCGAAGTACATCGATCTTTCGATGCTCGAGAAAAGTATCTTTCTTATCTCCGTAAATCTCGCAGAAACGCATCATTATCGTTTTCGTTATCGCGGACTATTCAGATGAGAGCAGAATAACGAGGGGATACTATTAAAAGGGATTCATTAAGGGATGCATAATATCGCGTAAGAGATAAAAAAAAAAAAAGACGTGCAAGTTGCATTGGAGGAGAAATCTCGTAGCATAGGAAAATAGTGCTCGTTAAGCCATTCAATTTTCCCTCTTCACTCGGGAAAGAGCTTTAGTTCGTCCCAGTTTACAGAATCGGCCTGTACAATCGTCGTGTTTCCAACGACGAGTAACATAAATTACTTCAACCAGGAATTTCTATTTCCTCCTTTTTTAATATCTCCTCTCTCTCTCTCACTCTCTCACTCACTCTTCTCGTCTCTCGTTTCAACAGAGATCTAACGATAGTCATAATATTCGTCACAAATACATACATGCAATGATACCACGAATGATCTATACATATAAAGGCCAAGTTCCTATGAGGTGGAAAAAAGGGATTTCCAAAAGTGGACAATGCACCCAAATTTTTCCGATTTACGACGCTACTGCGGGAATATCTCGTCGTAAAATGTCGGAAGAAACGAATCGACACGCGATTTTTCTTTTCCGCGATACTAGCGCCAGAGATAAATTTCTCCGTTTGATGTATTAAAACTGCAATCGAGCTGTGACATTTGTAATGACGGCTCCTCGATGTTATCCCTATCTTTCCAATGAATATTTGCCAGAATGATCAAATTCCGATTGGGTAAACGAGGTAATCGAGTTGACGAGAGACTTGTTTATTAGCGTGATGTTTCGACAGCGGTGTATTATTATTCTTGACGAGGAGATCGCTGCTGGTTGATAATAGGCGTCTTTAGTATTCAGCGAGTGTTCGTGAGTGACTATAATCATCTTCAGCATGCAGTGAACAGTCTACGTCGAGGGACTGTAGAGTTGATTTTAATACACTGCCAGAACCCGATATTGGGTGACTATAATTGCCTTTAGTGTACGGTGAATACTCGACGTTGGGTGACTATAATTACCTTTAGTATACGGTGAACGTTCGATGTTTTATGACTACAATTGGTCTTTAGTATACGGTGAACACTGGACGATGGGTGACTATAATTGCCTTTAGTATACAGTGAGTACTCGACGTTGCGTGACTATAACTGCCTTTAGTATACGATGAACACTCGACGTTGAGTGACTATAATCATCTGTAGTTTACAGTGAACATTCCATGTTTTATGAGTATAATTGGTCTTTAGTATACTGTGAACACTGGATGATGGGTGACTATAATTGCCTTTAGTATACAGTGACTACTCGAGGTTGGATGACTATAATTACCTTAGTATACGGTGAACATTCGATGTTTTATGACTACAATTGGTCTTTAGTATACAGTGAACACTGGACGATGGGTGACTATAATTGCCTTTAGTATACAGTGAGTACTCGACGTTGCGTGACTATAACTGCCTTTAGTATACGATGAACACTCGACGTTGAGTGACTATAATCATCTGTAGTTTACAGTGAACATTCCATGTTTTATGAGTATAATTGGTCTTTAGTATACTGTGAACACTGGATGATGGGTGACTATAATTGCCTTTAGTATACAGTGACTACTCGAGGTTGGATGACTATAATTGCCTTTAGTATACGGTGAACACTCGACGTTGGGTAAGTATATTTGTTTTTAGTCTTCAGTGAACATTCGATGTTCTATGACTATAATTGGTCTTTAATCTACGGTGAATACTCGACATTGCGTGACTATAATTCTCCGTAGTTTACAGTGAACATTCCATGTTTTATGACCATAATTGCCGTTTGTATACGATGAACACTCGACGTTGTGTGACTATAAATGTCTTTAGTCTACAGTGAACATTCGATGTTCCATAACTATAATTAGTCTTTACTCTTCGGCGAATACTCGACATTGCGTGACTATAATTGTCTTCAGTACACAGCGAGGATTCTATGTTCACAGTTCCATTTACATTACCCTGAATACTCGACTCCAATTTGTAGTCACTTTTACAATACTACTAGCACTCAACGTATGGTGACTATATAATCCACTCGTAGTGTAAGTCTTCTAAACATTTCACGTCAGCTGACTATAGTCACCTCTGGCATAGAGGAAATACTCGATGTTGAATAACTATAGTCACATTTACGATACAGGAAGCACACGATGCTAATTACCTATAGTCGTGACTGGTATTTACGTGAAAAACCACGTTCATTAATGGCACAAGAGATACAGTAAGACAGCCCGGTATAATTTCTCCGTTTCGAAGGGCCGACGAAGGGTTTCCGGATCGGACTCTCCCATTCGTTCAGAACGGAATATTAGCCGGACCGCACGAGCGTTCGGTAAATTTGACGAGGACGAATCCGCTTACGAGCCACGGTCAGCTCTTTCGTCCGAGTTTCCCTCTCCGTCCGCCCTCCTCGTCCGCCCTTTCCGCCATTTTTCTCATCTCGAGGAAAACAAACCGGAAGACGAAGAGCGACTCCGATCGAGTACAATCGAAAATAAATCTTTCCCCGGAGTGACACCGATCGATAGGTCCCACGGATCAGTCTTGTCAATGGAATACAGAGAAATTTCGTTTACTAAAAGTGCTGAGATAATCGATCGCCATTTTCAGATCGCGTGTGGACTTTATTTTCCCGCGACTATAAGTGAAATACTTATTCCAATTTGCGTATTACCATTATGCGCGTTATTAACACGTTGAGTGCGGCGCCGATTTTGCTATACTTTCCGCTCAGGCGGCAGCGAGTGAGCACTTGATGCCGAGCACTCGAGTATACCGAAAAGTATGAGCAGAAGATTACTTTGTTTCACTTTGTCGTTTGGACTGTGAGAATGGTACAGCCAATGCACAAATATACAAATTATAAACAGAAGATAATGAGGTGAGGAATGCCAGAAAGGCAAAAAGGCGATCACCAAGAAACGATCAGTCAGGAAAAGCCACGGAAGTGTAAAGATTTACTTTAGCAGAGGGAATTAAATTTTTACAATATATTAATTGTCATTGATAATTTAACCCTTGACAATGCCAGTCTTATGTTGATCAAGCGAAAAGTTCGCTGTCAGTCCCTAGAATCCACACCGTCCAAACGAAAAGTCTACTGTCAGTTCCTAGGGACAAGTTGATCAAGCGAAAAGTTCGCTGTCAGTCCCTAGAATCCACACCGTCCAAACGAAAAGTTTACTGTCAGTTCCTAGGGACTGACGTAGCACTCAACGTGTTAATACGATGATCTGCTTGTGCAAAGTAAGGAAGAGGAGAGTTTCTTACCTATGGACGACGTTGGCCAGCAGATCGTTGTGCCGTAATCTGTAATCGACGTCCACCTTCTGATAGTTGACAGTCAGGGTGCCAGCACGGATGCAACGCTCGTACTCCTCCGCCGGATGTGCCCGGAACTCCCTGGCGAACACCTCGAGGATCTTCTCGCCCACCCATCTCCCTTTCGTGAACGTGGTGAAGGTGAAGTAGTATGGGTACACTTTCCGGAGCCCTGTGAAGCCAAAAAATAACCAAAATGTCCAATTAAATCACCGTACTTGGAAATCCACTGTAGCATAACGATTTCAGTGTCAGTCGAGCATGAGCCAGACATACGGATATATATATACATGTAATCCTAGGTTGTTGGCGGTGCAACAGCTCGGCTAGAATTATCGCGAATTTTGCGTGACTGATGACTGATGTATGTTCATGTTACTATTTGAAGGATTGATTTCAATGAAATTATTATCAGGAGAAAATTTCATAATATACTGGGAATATATAAGAGACCAATTGACCACTAATCCTCTCTTATTTATGTAAAAACATTACCTCAACACGATATTAGTCGAAAATGTCAATAAAATTGAATTTTTATTCATATTATATAAATAAATTTTTTATATCATAAAACCATATAAATATTTTTTTAATTAGTTGTACAGTAATCATAGAAGCAGAGCAATTATCAATGTAACTCTAGCCTTTTGAATACCAGATTGGACACTTGGTGCCTCTAAGAAACAAATTAAAATTTTCTAAAATTAATTATATAGTAATGACGGATGCAGAGATTGATTAAATTCTCTAAAATTAATTATACAGTAATGACAGGTGCAGAGTAATTGTCACTGTAACTCTAGTCTTTGGGTGTCAAATTGGACACTGTGTGATTCCAGTAGTGTAATTAAAATTCTCTAGAATTAATTTTATAGTAATAATGGGTGCAGAGTAATTATCACTGTAACTCTAGCCTTTTGAATATCAGATTGGACACATGGCGCCTCTAATAGGCGAATTAAAATTTTCTAAAATTAATTGTACAGTAATAATAGAAGCAGAGCAATTATCAATGAAATTCTAGGACACTTGGTGCCTCTAATAAACGAATTAAAATTTTCTAAAATTAATTTTATAGTAATAACGAAAGCATAGAAATTGTCATTGTAACTCTAGCCTTTCAAATACCAGATTGGACACTTGGTGCCTCTAATATACGAATTAAAATTTCCTAAAATTAATTTTATAGTAATAACGGAAGCATAGCAATTATCACTCTAATTATACTCTTTTGGGTCTCAGATTGGACACTCTAACCCTCTAACAGCATGATTAAAATTTTCTAAAATTAATTTTATAGCAATAAAGGATGCAGGGCAATGGTCACTATAATTCTAGTCTTTTGGGTCTCAGACAGTACACTTAGTGCCTCTAATACACAAATTAAAATTTTCTGAAATTAATTTGACAGCAATGGCTGAAAAATTCATCCTAGATAAAATAATATAGAGATTCACAAGAGACCAATTGTCACTAGAACCCTAGTTTTCCAGTTATCGCGTCTACCACCTCTCCAATCCTCCATTACTGGCGAATAACACAAAATAAATTTATGTTATGTTATATTTACAACACAGAGAGCGTGAAAATTCATTGGAAAATTCCCCCACAAAGGATTCCTCCACTCGGCGTAAAAATATGATACGAATGTCATCGCAACGAAACGTCACAAGAGGGGCCCATTACTATATCAGTCACACACCGACACAAAACACGAAAATCAAAATGCACTATTCGACCTAACCCACGGAATAGGCGACTATTTTCATACTAGAATCGAGGGAACTTGGAAGGAAAATTGGCTCGGAGACGAAGCGTGGAATTATGATATCGCGGGTTATATAACGGGTGGCTAATTAACCGCGTGCTATGTGCCGCTACGTTCGGCCGGACAAATAAAACTGCCCCGGGCGACAGACGATTCGGTGATAAGCCCGCGGATAATCGTATGCAAAGGTATTCTATTTGGAAACAATTTTATGCCGGCTGATTCAAGCCCGCGGTCGTAACTAGCCTGCGATACACGGAGCCTTACATCCTGATTAATCGATCGTTCATTAATTCATCGTCGCGGCTGCATTACCATTCGACACACCTCTTTACCATGATCAAACGATCGTTCACCTTCTCCGACAACGATAAATCACGTCCTTTCAGCCGTGTATTCGAATCAACGACCTCGCCATGCAAATCCGAACCCGGTCAGAAATAAACCATCCTGCTCCCTGAGACCAGCCATCCGTGAGATCCTCGATGATTCCGTGATGATCCACCGATTTCAGGTCGGTATGTAATGCATTATTTCGAAATTGCCATCTATTTGATAAGACGACGTAGTTACTTAAGGAGTTTTTAATAGAACGGCGAGATATAGGTCTCAGATGGCGCTAGTGTTCTTAGGTTATGACGCTGAGTAAATGTATTAACGAATTCCTCGGAGATACTCGATGATTCCGTGATGATCCACCGATTTTAGGTTGATATGTAATGCATTATTTCGAAATTGCGATCTATTTGATAAGATATCAAAGTTACTTAAGGAGTTTTTAATACAACAACGAGATATAGGTCTCAGATGGCGCTAGTGTTCTAAGATTTTAACACTGAGTAAATATATTAACGAATTCCTCAGAAATACTCGATGATTCCGTGATGATTCACCGATTTCTGATTGATCTACCATTCGATCACGTTGTCTTTTTTTTTTTTTTTTGGAACGATTGGAGACATGGATAGAAGATCTCAAGGTGCTGGAAGATGTTGCGTTTGATGATGGATCTATGGATCTGTAGTAGATCTTGGTGATCTTGGTGATCTTTTTTGGAAGAAAGAGTTCATCCCTGCTTTCATTTTCTCGAGTCTATTTTAAATATTTGTAATTTGTCATTGGGTGTGTGACTTCGTAGATAGGATTGTCGATTAGGTTGACGAGTGTATGTAGATAACTATAATAGAATGGTCAGCTATGTTTCTGGTTTCTGAAGTGGTATGTAATGTTGTAATGTTGTTGGTATGTAATGCATTGTTTCGAAATTGCGATCTATTTGATAAGAGATCGAAGTTATTCAATGAGTTTTTAATAGAACGGCGAGATATGGGTCTCAGATGGCGCTAGTGTTCTTAGGTTATGACGCTGAGTAAATATATTAACGAATTCCTCGCTTTCTCCGCTCTCACTTTCCAAAGTTCTTCCAGGAATTGATCCTACTTGGAGCTAGATATCAGTAGAGTGATATTGCACACTGTTGGGTAGAGGAGGACTGCTATGTTGGAAAGAATTTATGAAGCAACCGGGGAGCCATAGACGACCTCGGAAACACGAACAATACACGAGTGACTATTTAGTTGCTCGTTTTTGGTCCCCTGTCTAGCTGACAGCGTGTAATAGCTGTAAGGTAGCAGTAACCCTCTTCTCGTCAAGCAAAAACGTAAGATCCCTAAGAAGGTAGAAGTCTCTCTCAGTTCTAGAGTGTTTACTCTGATGGTCAATTGCAACAGTGTGGTGGAAAAACCCTAGTGATATTTGGAACAACGCTTTAATCCGCTGTGTGACAATTTTTGTATTAGGGGATTCTCAATTTATCGTACAAAAGTAAATATAGAGACTAAATTAAGTTCCTAGTTTAAGTTACTAGGCTAATACTAGATTCTTGAGTTTTATTAACTTCAAGTATTTTTGTAAAAATAGTTTTCATCGTTTCAACAGGTGGAAGTTAGTAAAGATATAGTATATTTTCTTGAAATATATAGTACATACATGTCCTTTCACATTTTTCTCCTAAACTAAAGTTAGATACACGAATACCCTAGATAAACTCAATTGAATTGAAAGCAAATTTTCCAGAATTAAATCTCAGTGCAAGTTCCTCATTCTCATGCGAATTCTAACACTGATGCCTAGTAACAAATTCAAACTAGATACAGAAATACCCCAGAAACATCCAAACGAATTCAAAGCAAACGTTTCAAAATTAAATCCTAGTACAACTTCTCGGTTCTCAAATGAATGCCAACACTGATGCCTAGTAACAAATTAAAACTAGGTACACAAATACCCCAGACACGCAGAAACCAATTAAAACAAAATATTTTCTCAAAACTGAATGCTTCAAAATTAAATCCCAGAGTAGGTACTCGATTTTTCACAGGAATTTCAACACTGATGTCTAGTAACAAATTAAAACTAGGTACATAAGTACCCCAGATACAGCCAATCGATTAAAATCAAATATTGTCCGAAAAGAGAATGTTTCAAAATTATATCCCAGCACAGGTACCGGATTCTCACGCGAGAATATGAAAGAAAGAGAAACAGCTGGCAGCAAGCGTGCACAACAGGTGCAACGTGCGGCAGCACGTGCGGCACCAGAGCTAAAGTCCCTATAGCCACGGCTGGCGTTTACGTAAGCGGAGCCAGAGGCGTTCCAACGCCCGCGTTGGTCCCGTTATTATTACCTTTAAATAGTGGCGCGATTGTTTCGTAATTAATTACGAATTGGCACGGTGGCCAGGCGCGGTGGTGGCCGGTATACGAAAATAAAGCCCGGCCGGGATCGCGCCAATCGCGTAAATCACGATAAAGTCCGGACAGCCGGCCATGATTATACTCCGCGTCCCGGGACAGAGACGCGATGACACTTCACCTGATGGAAACGCCTCGAGCGTTCTCGTCGCCTGTCCATCCTCTTGGCCCCGCTTCAAAATCGAACCTCTGGATATCCAAGGATTACGTGTCTCGCCGGCCAGACGGCTGAAGCCTCGCGAGAGTCCACCGAGACCATGTGTCCCACTAGGGGAGAATCCACCCTCGGAGGGTGGGGTAGTTTAGGGTATAATATTTTTACGGGTAGAAAACACGGCTTTGCCAGACTTTTTGCCTAGGTTGTTATATTTGTTCTATTTCCTTTTTCATTCATCTTTGGTAAGATGGATGTGGATATTAGAATTGGGATAGTTACCCTTCTTTTTCTGGGGGGGAAATAAAACACGACTTTTTGGAGAATTTGATCGCGACAATTATAGTTGTTTGACTTTCTTATTCATCTTTGCCTAAGATGAGTCTGGATATTAAGATTGGGATAATTCTGGATATATCTATTTTCGTGGAGGTAAAACCACGGGTCTTCGAGAATTTGGATACGATAGTGAGATTTTGTGCTTTCTCCTTTC